CTACAATATAGTGCAATATAATAATAGTGCAATATAAATTAAGAAATGTGAAGATTTGTGATAATTACGGAAAATTATCAGACATGTTGATGGAAGTCTAAAAGAAAAAAAGATATGTGATGAGTTTTTGATGTTTAATGATGTTATATATTTGTCTTTATTGGAAAATTAATAAAAATCATATATATAAAAAAAGAAACTCCCGTCCATCTTGGACTTCCTTCTCTTTGGGTATTTCTGACCATGGGATCTCACCCAGTAGTTCTTTCAGCTTGTTGAAATCAGTCTAATTCTTGAAGTCCAGAGTGCATGTCCGAATACACTCAGTTTTCCCTTACCTCTGTATCGTGAAACCCAGAAGGACATGATCTCTTTCTCCCAAGGTTCCCATTACTTCCACTTTGCTAATCAGTTGCTCCCTGTTCATGAGGACCAGTTCCAAGATAGAACTGCTGCTGCTTCCACTTTCTGGGAAATAAAGGATGAAGAAGCAGGGGTCAAGGAGGCTTAGATAAGCCCTGCTTCCTGTGAGTAAATGGTTGGCTGTGTTTGAAAAAAGCATGAATTAAATTGCATGGTTGTTAAATCCTCACTCATGCTAAGCCTCATTTACAAAATGACTTGAATGAATTCCCACATTCCTCCTCCCTTTAATTCTTGCTTGCTTGCAAAAAGGACATGAGTAAGACTGTGCTGTAGACACCGGCGCTGGGCTCTTATCTCCAAGTTTGGACTAATTACAGCATTGACCCTTTGGATAATGAGATCTTAAGTGAGCTGGTCATTCAGTCTGGATCATCCTCTTCTCACAAACTGGAACATTGCAGTGCAAAATGGAACAAAAAGAGCCACTCCTACCATTATTATTTTGTTGTTTCCAAAGTTAGTCATACTCAGAGCAGATCCAAGAAAATTAATGGATGTGACTAACTTAGGTCTCTCTTTTCTTCAGTAAGTAGAACGGAACCATTCGTAATATTTTTATGTGTAACAAATGTACAGAAGGTTATTTAAATGCAACTAAATGCAGTGCTTTTTTCCGTTAAAAATGTTTAGGGGTACTCTCATTTTGACTCAAGAAAATCACCATTTTATAGTTCAAATTGGGGGAAATATACAGTAAATGGACAAAAGTACAAAGATTCACAAAATGTTTAGGGGTATGTGTCCCCCTGCGTCGTCGTCCCCCGAAAAAAAACACTGACTAAATGCACAATTATGTGAATGAAATGGTCTAAGTGGACATTGGCTTTTGGTCCTGCCTGCTGTCAACATGTGGCCCCCAGAAGGATATGGACTAAAAAAAGCTTCCCTGCTCCTGTATGATAAGATGCTTATAGAATCATAGAATTGTAGAGTTGGAAGGGACCCTGAGGGGCATCTAGTCCAACCCTCCTGCAAGGCAGGAGTCACAGCTGAAGAATCCCTGATAGATGGCCACCAAACCTCTTCTTTAAAACCTCCAGCGCAGCAGAGTCCACTTCCTTCTAAGGAAGTCTGTTCCAACGTCAATCAGCTCTTACCATCAGGAAGTTATTCCTAATGTTTAGTCAGAACCCCAGTTCTTGTAACCTGAATCCATTGGTTCGTGTCCTGTCTTCCAGAGCAGCAGAAAACAACTTTGCTCCAGCTGACAGCCCTTCAGATATTTGAAGATGGCTATTTTATCTCCTCTCCATCTCCTCTTTACCCTAATATTCAAAGGCAACACGATGACCAAGTATAACAATACAATGTCACTATAAACTCTTTGTATAATCTATAGAGAACATTGAACAATATGAAATATATGAAATATGCACTCTCTGCAAAACCAAATGAACAGAAATCTCCTAAATCTCTGAAAGTCACAAAATATGCACTCTTGATGGATTCTCTTGAAAACATAGAACCAAATAAGCACAAGTCTTATAGGTCTCTGAAAGTCTTTGTAGACTATGCAAGTCTCTGAGAGAAGCAATGGGTCAGATTCTTATCTGGTGAAAACAAGTCGTTAAAGCTTTATTTTATGACGTCCAACGCTGCCAAACTGGTCCGCAAACAGATGTAGTGAACAGTGATTCTGGATATACCCACTTTATATACATAATTGTATGACCACTGCTCCATAGCAATTGTTGTTATACAATTCCATTCACCATATAGATGGGTTTATGAAGCATTTCTGTATCCTTCTGCTGTGCTGAAGTAGAATTCCATGAAACAGTGGTTATATCAGAGACCTATATGACTTATGTTTAATTGGTTCTATGTTTTCAAGAGAATCCATCAAGAGTGCATATTTTGTGACTTTCAGAGATTTAGAAGATGTGGCCAGCATGACTAAGCCGCTTCTGGCGAATCGGAGCAGTGCACAGAAACACTGTTTACCTTCCCACCGGAGCGGTACCTATTTATCTACTTGCACTTTGAAGTGCTTTTGAACTGCTAGGTGGGCAGGAGCTGGGACCGAGCAACGGGAGCTCACCCCGTCGTGGGGATTCGAACCGCCGACCTTCTGATCGGCAAGCCCTAGGCTCTGTGGTTTAACCCACATTGCCACCCATATACACAGTATTTGTTGTCGTTTAGTCGTTTAGTCGTTTAGTCGTGTCCAACTCTTCGTGACCCCATGGACCAGAGCACACCAGGCCCTCCTGTCTTCCACTGCCTCCCGCAGTTTGGTCAAACTCACGCTGGTAGCTTCGAGAACACTGTCCAACCATCTTGTCCTCCATCGTCCCCTTCTCCTTGTGCCCTCCATCTTTCCCAGCATCAGGGTCTTTTGCAGGGAGTCTTCTCTTCTCATGAGGTGGCCAAAGTACTGGAGCCTCAGCTTCAGGATCTGTCCCTCCAGTGAGAACTCAGGGCTGATTTCCTTCAGAATGGAGAGGTTTGCTCTTCTTGCAGTCCATGGGACTCTCAAGAGTCTCCTCCAGCACCAGAATTCAAAAGCATCCATTCTTCGGCGATCAGCCTTCTTTATGGTCCAGCTCTCACTTCCATACATCACTACTGGGAAAACCAGAGCTTGAACTACACGGACCTTTGTCGGCAAGGTGATGTCTCTGCTTTTTACAGAGTACACACATACAAATGTAAGTAACTGCTGTGATTCCTGCATTGCCAGGGGTTAGACTAGAAGACCCTCAGAGTCCCTTCCAACTCTGATTCTAGAAGCAACTTGGAGACCCTTGGGTGACATGCAACTAACAAGTTTAATAAATGAATAAAACAAAATAGTCATTGCCTTTTCTTATCTCTGCAGATACAGCTACGCTGAGACCAGTAACTAACCAGGGAAGGTGTGGTTCTGTCGGCTGCTAGAGTTGTCATGTAGCAAATGATACTAATTCAGGATAAGAGAGGGAGGGGAAGACACTAAGGTAAAGGCCCAGGAAATGAGTTAAACAACCCATTTGGAGGAGGCGACGGTATAACGGGGCTGAGATGAGCTGGGTTAGAGATGAATCAAACCATCATCAAAGAAGGGTGTTGCCTTCCACAGGTGCAATTAAGAACCGTATAAAAAGGAAGAGTGCCAGAGTATTCTCCACCCTGATTCTCCAAATCCGGCAAGCAGTTGCCATTTCTGACTTAGGTGAGTTGGTATCTTATGGTGTTTTATAACTCGTAGGATGGGAGTAGGGGTATTCCAGGAGGTGGCTGGGGATAAGTCTAGAAGGAGCCTTGTTTTTTGGGGGGCGGGACAGATATTATCGAGGTTGAAGGAATGAAAGGGAAGATGATCAGGAGGAGGGATGCCATTTTCCATGAAGAACAGAAGAAGCTGAAAGTTGGAAGGGGAAATAAATTCAGATGGGGAAATATTGCAGTGATTTATGAAGTTATGAATGGTATGCAGTGAGAGACACTCCTGGGATCATCCATTTAAAGCTTATTGGGAGGAGGTTCGGGACGCAGGTGGCACTGTGGGTTAAACCACAGAGCCTAGGACTTGCTGATCAGAAGGTCGGCGGTTCGAATCCCCGCGACGGGGTGAGCTCCCGTTGCTCAGTCCCTGCTCCTGCCCACCTAGCAGCTTGAAAGCACGTCAAAGTGCAAGTAGATAAATAGGTACCGCTCCGGTGGGAAGGTAAATGGCGTTTCCGTGCGCTGCTCTGGTTCGCCAGAAGCGGCTTAGTCATGCTGGCCACATGACCCGGAAGCTGTATGCCGGCTCCCTTGGCCAGTAAAGCGAGATGAGCGCCGCAACCCCAGAGTTGTCCGCGACTGGACCTAACGGTCAGGGGTCCCTTTACCCGTTACCTAGGAGGAGGTTCATGACTTGGAATGAACATTTGGAATTCAGAAAATGTTACAAGGGCTTAGAAGGATTTAAAACAGATTAATGGAACTGGAGGGTTCCTTGATGACTGTTAGTTATGATAGCCAAACAGAGCATTTTCATCGACCAAGGCAGCCTGCCTCTGAATATTAAATGCTGGGCACAATCATCAACAAGCAATGTCACGTGCTTAACGAAATGTTACAAATAGCCCAGATGAGGTGACATCAAGGCTTTCATTGATTAATGCCTCTAAATTAAATACAGTCATACCTTGGGTTTTGAACAGAATGCGTTCTGGAAGTGCGTTTGACTTCCGAAATGTTCGGAAACCAAGTCGCGGCTTCCGATTGGCTTCCGGTTGCACAGGCACACTGGAAACAATAGCAGAAGGTTCAGAGCTTCCCAAAAAACATTCGGAAACCGGAACACTCACTTCCGGGTTTTGATTGTTCGGGAGCCGTTAAGTGTGAGTACCAAGGAGTTTGACAACCAAAGTCCAACTGTCTGTGTTGTATGAAAGTATTTCCTTTTGATTGTTCTAAACGTGACAGCCATCTATTTCGCTGAGTGACCGCATATTCTCACATTATTTCTTCTCTCGCATTTATCCACATCTTTCAAAACATTATCAGCTACTGCCACAACCCTCAGTATTTTATTGGTAAACTGGAAAGTCCTGAATGCTTTCAATGATTGCCTGAAACCTTACATCTGCAGAACCTTCTAGAAGATGGCCTCCCTTCTGGACAGCATCCATGACATCAGCAGGGTCTTTTACAAGCACGCCTTGCGTCACGGGGATGACTTCACCTTGAGCCGGAGGGAGATGAGGAGGGTGATCCAGGAGGAGTTTTCTGAGATCATCAAGGTGAGATGGAACTGATGATTATGTGCCCCTGTAGCTTGTGTCTTCGTGGTGTCACCACCCTCTTCCAGCGTGGTGTAGTAGTTAAGAGCGGTAGACTCGTAATCTGGTGAACCAGGTTCGCATCTCCGCTCCTCCACATGCAGTTGCTGGGTGACCTTGGGCCAGTCACACCTCTCTGAAGTCTCTCAGCCCCACTCACCTCACAGAGTGTTTGTTGTGGGGGAGGAAGGGAAAGGAGAATGTTAGCCGCTTTGAGACTCCTTGGGGTAGTGATAAAGCGGGATATAAATCCAAACTCTTCTTCTTTTTCTTCTCTTCTTCCTTGGGTTTGGAAGATGTGAGATCTCTTAGTTGGAGGGCAGATACCTGAGTGCACATGTGTATAAATGCATGTGGTGTAGTGGTTAAGAGCAGTGAATTTGTAATCTGGTGAACCGGGTTCGCATCTCTGCTCCTCCACATACAGCTGCTGGGTGACCTGGGCTAGTCACACTTCTTTGAAGTCTCCTAGCCCCACTTACCTCACAGAGGGTTTGTTGTGGGGGAGGAAGGGAAAGGAGAATGTTAGCCACTTTGAGACTCCTTAGGGTAGTGATAAAGCGGGATATAAATCCAAACTCTTCTTCTTCTCTTCTAAATGCATGAGCATGAACACTAAGGCATCATGACATGTGAAGTTTGCTGTTTTACATTCCATAGGTAGAGAGGTTCATTTTGAACACTCTTATAGCTTGGTTACACTCTTCCTAGAAGATGTTTACCCCCCAAGAAAGTCTAGAGGGGATTCGGAACAGAGCAAACTAGGTGATTGTTAAAGGAACAGGAATAGTTGAGATATGGGGATCCCTAAAGGTAAAGGTAAAGGGACCCTGACCATTAGGTCCAGTCGTTGCCGACTCTGGGGTTGCGGCGCTCATCTCGCTTTATTGGCCGAGGGAGCCGGCGTACAGCTTCCGGGTCATGTGGCCAGCATGACTAAGCCGCTTCTGGTGAACCAGAGCAGCGCACATAAATGCCGTTTACCTTCCCACAGGAGTGGTGCCTATTTATCTACTTGCGCTTTGACATGGTTTCAAACTGCTACATTGGCAGGAGCAGGGACCGAGCAACGGAAGCTCACTCCATCACAGGGATTCGAACCGCCGACCTTCCGATCGGCAAGCCCAAGGCTCTGTGGTATAACCCACATAGCAAAGATCTGATGGTGTAGCTGATGTTGTGATGAGACTGCCTACTCTCCACGCCTGACATTGGGTGTCCCAGTCCACGCTGACTCTGTATGTGTGAATAAAAGGTCTACTTGCGCAGAAATAAATGTGCACTCTTCCTTCCCATATGTAAACATGCCCCCCCTCACACAATGGCTTTGAAAAGTTAAAAAAAAATAAATGCCATTAGCACCACGAAGAATAATTTAGAAGACAAGGGAGAAAAGGAGACTGGTGTGTTTTGGAGTACTGAGTTTGCAGAAATGGTTACAAAACTAACCTCAAACCTAAAAACCGAACGTGCTAAGTCCTTTTCTCCCCACCTTTCAGAGCCCTTGTGATCCCCAGACCCTGGAGCTGGTCTTCCAACAGCTGGAGCACAACAAAGAAGGCTTGGTTGACTTCAATGGGTACCTGCGTCTCCTCTCCAACATGGCCAAGGCCTGCCTCTATCACAGGGAGCCCAGAGGAGACGTCAGAGGAGATCTTTGCAAAGGAGAACTTCAGAGGAATGAAACCATCCCCCGCCAGCTCCGCAATGTGGAATGGAAAGGAAGTGATGATTATGAGATTGGAGATTCTGACCGGATGGGCCCTCATCCATTTGATGGTTCCAGGAGAAGAGAAGAGAGGAGAGACAGCCTTCTACGTGAGTCTGTGACACAAACAGATGAGAGAAGCTGCTATAGACGTGATCTTGAGTCGGAAAGTGATTCTGAGAGTTCATCAAGCAGTTCTTCAAGTAGTTCATCAAGCAGTTCATCAAGCAGTTCATCAAGTGAATATCTGGAAAAGGAAGAGGCGGAGAGTCGCCGACAATCAGACAAACAAGACCTGCAAAGGGATGAAGCTGGCGGCCGAGATTTTGGAAAGAGGGACAACCTTGAGAGATGTCATCCTTCTCGTAGGTCTCAACTACGGGAAGGTGATGAAAGGGAGGAAGGTTCCACACAAAGAGGAGACGATCGGAGGCAATGTCGACCACAAGAGTGCTATGTGGAGGATGAGGAGGAGAACTTGAGGAGACCACGGCAGCGTGGACCCCGAGAAGGTGAGAGGAGGAGGACACAGTCACGAAGAGAAGATGATGAAGAGAGCAAGGAGGATCGTGAAATGAAAACCCTGCAAAGAGATGGAGGAAGGCGAAGGTTTCTGATAGTGGAAGCACTGAGAGATGATGTTAAGAGGAAGGAGCCGCTGGAAAAAGGGCTTGAAGGTAGAAGGTCCCAACAAGTATACTGTGCTGATTCCAGGGAAAGTGAGAGGAGAAGGTCTCAGTCCTCTGAGCCAGCACTGTGTGACAAGGCTCAGAGAAATCAACGATATTATGTACATGAACCCCTGGAAAATGAGAGCGACAGGAGAAGGTGTCAAGCCTGCAGGCCAGGAGTACGTGAGGATAATCAAAAGAAGGAGCAGAATCCAGATCTTGAAGGTTTCAAAAGAGGAGAAGAGAGAAGGAGGTCTCTACGGCGTGAAGTTGCTTCCCGAGTAGCTATTCAACAGAAGCAGCCATGTTATCCTGAGACCCCAGAAAGGGACGCTGAGCGGAGAAGATCTCATGTTTGTAAACAAGGACTTTGTGAAAATATTCAGAAGAAGGAGCAGCGCTTTGAGACTGGATCCTTCGAAAGGGGTGCTGAGAAGAGGAGGTCTTTGCGATGCAAACCAGGAGTCCGTGGGGACAGCCTGGAGAACCGACAGCACTGTGAGTCTGAGGCCTTCGAAAGGGAAGCTGAGAGGAGGAGGTCTCTTCGAGGTAAACCAGGACCATGTGCAGATCGCCTGAAGCAGCACTGTGAGGTCAGGCGCTTTGAAAGAGGTGCTGAGAGGAAGAGGTCTGTACGGCGTGAAGTGGCGAGCAGAGAGGACAGCAACGGGAGACGGGAGCGTTATGAGTGTGAACCCCTGGAAGGCAATGATGAAAGGAGGGGGCCAGCAAGAGGTTGAGAGGAGGAGAACCATCGCCCAACATTGACCAAAGAGTCCTGAAGTTTAGCCAAGGAACCAGAGCAGTGCATGCTTTTCCCTTTATGCCTCCCGCTTTGGCAGTCAATCTATAGACGGAATTAGGAATCCCCAAAAAAGAACAGGGTCTGAGCCACCCAATCAGTGGTCAGCAATCTAAGGCCCATGGGCCACAACCGGCCCATGGGGGTCAATCAAATATCCTTTATTAGGCATAGCAAACCACACATTATCAAGCAGACGCCGTATATAATTTGTGCAAAATACGAGCTCAGCACAACAAGGTTTGTCCCAGTCAGAACTTTAATTCCAGAGGAAATCAATTTGCATAAATAATACAATACAACACTACCACATCACCGATCAATTAAGAACTACTAGATCTCTTTATAATGGCCCAGTCTTTCTACGTGCACAGCACTCAAAAATGCAGCCACTATTAAAGTCATTTGATCATTCCTGTCCAGAAGCCGGTCGACTCCTGCCCACTCGGTCGAATCCTGTGCGCCGTGCTAAACAGGCGCAGAGCAGAGTGGGGACCGCCTTCCGTGACGCTGGCCGGCTTCCCATTGGCTGCAGGAAGCTGCATGCGTTTGCGCATGCCCGTGCGCGCGCACACACACACACTCCAGCCCACCACAGTGTCTACGGGACTGTGAACTGGCCCAAGCCACAAAAACTTTGCCGACCCCAGCAGCAAATGCTAAAGGAGGCTCTGCTAGCCCAACTCGGAGGAAGACCAGCAAGAGCACATATCTGTCAAAGCATCGCCCAAGCCTTTAATGTATCCAGACGTCTGAGATAGAGTGAAATAAGTGCTTTCCCCACTGCATTCTCCTGCCTTGCTTCTGCATGAAAAAATAAAGAGATTGCAAATGAGAATGTGATCGCTTGTCCTTTCTCCGTACTACCCCATTGTACAATACAATACGATAATCTTTATTGTCATTGTCCCATACAGAAGAGCAAAATTGAAAAAAATCTACATCAGACATTCAAAAACCCACAAGGCTGCTATCCCAACTATCCCAGCCTGGTTAGCCCCCTAAAAACTCTGATACCTCATAACTGAATACAATATACTCACATAAAGACTACCTTACACTGCATTTACAACCAAAATCGCATTTGGATAGAAACTGTTTCTCAGGCGGCTAGTCCTAGTCTTTATAACCCTGTACCTGGCAGTTCGAAAGCACGTCAAAATGCAAGTAGATAAAGAGGTACCACTCTGGCGGGAAGGTAAACGGTGTTTCCGTGCGCTGCTCTGGTTCGCCAGAAGCGGCTTCGTCCTGCTGGCCACATGACCCGGAAGCTGTACGCCGGCTCCCTCGGCCAATAAAGCGAGATGAGCGCCGCAACCCCAGAGTCGGCCATGACTGGACCTAATGGTCAGGGGTCCCTTTACCTTTTACCTTCTTCCAGAAGGCAGAAGCTGAAAGAGATCATTTCTGGGGTGCGCACTATCCTGCGCTATCTCTATGAAGAGACAGCGAGCCTCCACATTAACAGTTCAGATCTCTGTAAGGGCTTCAGTGCCACGGGTGTGGAATCTCAGGCCCAGGAATCTAATATCACACACACCCAGGATTCTTTTTTTTGTTCCTTGGCTCACACACCCCAGGCCCACTTGCCCCTCCCCAGGCTAGAGGTACGCCGTATTGCTATTTGGAGACAGGGAATTTCCTTATAAATGAGTCAGATCCCTGGTCTCAGTTGGAAGCAGGGTTGAGGGCTTAACCATGATTGCTACTTGAGATTGCTTTTGAAGGAGACATCAGGGGGGTTGAATTGGGACCTCCTGCATGCAAATTGTGGGCATCACCTGTTGTAAACAAAATAAATCTGCCCTTTTTCCCTTATGGGGTATCCAAGAGCCCATATAGAGTCCTTACATAGGTTCCCTGTTGGTAGGAGAAGAAAACAGAGGCCAAGCAGAGAATATTGAGAAGCAAAGCGGCTCGTAAGCCTGATCTTTATTGATCTGTTGCAACAGGGTGCTCCCCTCACACGCAGGAAAGGAGGAGGACCCAGAACAAAGGTGTGCAAGCCCTTATATAGACATTTTAAATTCCCTGCCCTGGAGCTCCAGACACCCTTCCATACATCACAGAAAAGGTGCTGTTGTTTTTCCTGTCTGCCAGGTTATCTGATAATGCCTTATCTGATTGCCTTTCCTGGTAGCCTGCCCATTCCTTTGAAACGGTGATTACCCAGTTTCTGAGACAATGGGAAGGTTCGCTCACCCGCTCCCTCCTTGCAGAGAAATCATTTGGTCAGTCTGGGAGTCAAAATGGTTTCAGGTCGGTCTTCCTGTGCTGATCTATGTATGTGCTTGGTTGGTACACTTATGAACATTATATATCAGGAGAGGCTGGAGGGCTACCGGACCCAGAGGCAACCTCACCTTCCCCTGACGGGGATGAGAGTGGAGCACCTGCAGGTAATAGGTCCTCCATCACCTCTGGAACCAGAGCGGATTCAGCTGGTGTCTGCTCCTGAGGATCCGGCACAGGTGAGGGCCCTTCAGGTTCAAGCCCCTGCCCCGGCTCAGCCGGCCCTGGAGGCGGGGACTCCTGTGCAGGCTGGGATTCCTCAGGTTCAGCCTCTGAATCTGATTCCCAGGCCATCACAGGTACTAAGATTTGTTAGGAGACCTGTATTCCCCTCACAGAGCAACCACAGCTCAACTTATTACTTAAACTAAGATGTCACAGACTTAAACACAGTAGTATAGCTTTTCTTAAACTTCGGTTGCTCAGAAATCAGTTGCTACACTTCAGTCTCTGGGTCCTTTAGGGAAGTTGTTAATGTCTGGTGTTTTATTGTATTTTTAATATTTTGTGGGAAGCCACCCAGAGTGGCTGGGGAAACCCAGCTGGCGGGCGTGCAGGGAAAGGGGAGGCCACCGGCAAAGCTGTGCAGCTCCCCCACTCACTGGGGCGCCCCTGAGAGTCCAGCGCCCTGGCGTGACGCACCACTAAGCCCTATGGGAAAGACGGCTCTGTGTATATCATTTCCCAGTAAGCTTTAACCTTTCTACAAGACCACCATGAAAGTACAGCACTGAGCAGCTTGGGGTGGGGGGAAGCACTTTATTACACAAGGCTAAAGCATTTGGACTTTTCAGTTTACCGCCTACACAACATTCTACGGGTGTGGCAGTATTTGGAGAAAGGGGAGAAGAGAAATGATATGAGAATTTGGAGGATAGGGTCACACTAGCTTGCAACAGAGTTGGGCAACCCTTTCTTCTTGTTGAGCTCTGCAGCCGCCTATTCCATCCATGTCATTATGTCACCAGATATTTGACAAGCGGCGGGTGGTCCCATCCTCCTGTGAAACTTGGCCTGCAAAGTGAAGAGGTGGAGATCTGCCCTGTTGGGCCAGAACGGTGCTTCACCTTTGACAAAGACGATGAAAGCGCAACTTCGTTCTCCGTAGCTCCAGAGGGTGAGATCCAAGCCAACGGACGCAAATGGCAATAAAAAAGGATTGAGAAACAAATTTAAGAAGAGCGTATCGATGATATGAGCTGTTAAGCCATTTGGATATCAAAAGATTTAACTCCCAAAATGTCTTGAATGCCTTTAGGGAGATATTTTTATATGCAACGGCTACAGCTCGGACTTTGGTGGCAAAGGGGTGGAAGGAAGAAGCAGCCCCAACGATAACGGATTGGAATAATAAGCTACAAGAATTTGCTGAAATGGCACAGTTGACAAATAGCCTGAGAGGCAATTCAAAACAAAAAATTATGGAAAAGTGGGTTAGATACAAGATATATGTTCAAAAATACAGTAAAGGTTCGCTATCTACGCTAGCATTCGATTGACGTTGGAGAGAGACTGAGTTGAGAAAGAAGACCAAGGGTACTTATTGATATAGGAATGTATTAGATAAAATGTAAAGAAATATACAATAATAAGAGTACATTCATTTGAAAAAAAAGGAATATGCAACGGGATAGACAGGAAGTCCAAAGTGTTGGTACATATATGATTTTGGAATAGCTTTTTGTCCTTGTTTTTTCTTTTTCTTTAGGTATATAAACTTTGTATACATGCTGAAAATTATATTATAATAAGCCTTGTAATGTAATATGATGATGTTTGCCGATGTAACATAACAACGTTAATAAATAAATAAAACAAACAGGCTGACTTGGAAAGTGTTGGGCTGTCTTTCTTTAGAAGTGTTTTAGCAGATGGCCCAACCTATCAGGGATGCTATCCATTCTTAAGGAAATTCTTAACCTATTCTTAACCTCTCCATTCTGAAGGAAATCAGCCCTGAGTGCTCACTGGAAGGACCGATCCTGAAGCTGAGGCTCCAAGACTTTGGCCACCTCAGGAGAAGAGAAGACTCCCTGGAAAAGACCCTGATGTTGGGAAAGATGGAGGGCACAAGGAGAAGGGGACGACAGAGGATGAGATGGTGGGACAGTGTTCTCGAAGCTACCAGCATGAGTTTGACCAAACTGTGTAAGACAGGAGTGCCTGGCGTGCTCTGGTCCAGGGGGTCACGAAGAGGCGGACACGACTAAACGACTAAACAACAACGACAACATCAGGGATGCTGTAGCAGCAGAATTCTTGCATCAGCATGTTTGTGTGAGGCCAGGGGGTTGGACTAGATGACCACTCAATTCACACCCAACTCAGCCATTTAATGACATCTTTTATATATTAGGCAAACACAACGGCATCAAGGGAATATGTGAAGTTATTCAGATTTCTCCAGGTAAAGTCCCAGAAGAATAACCCACAAAGGATATTGAATGATCCATTGCTTTTGTGTTTGAGTAAGTGGTTTGGTGTTTACTAAGCATTGGGGATAATATTGCATGAACACCTTGGCTTATCAACGAAAGGCCTTGATCAATTGAATCATTATTGTCTTCCCTGAATGGATGAAGGGTTTCTGTCATGAGTGCCTAGTTTGTGTTTTTGCTCTAAATAGATCTGCGGTTTTTTGGGTTTTGAATTTTTTTTAGCTGTTTTTATTGTGCCACATCTTGAGATGTGTGTGTATTAAAGGTACCAGATAAACAAATAAATAATCAGGTCATAAAACTCTTCAATGGACATCTTGCTTTATCATGAAAGGCTGACAGCCGAAAGACTTCTGCAGGGAAGCACCAAAATTCAATGGTGGAGACCATGCTTTTCCTCTGGAATCCCAAATTTAAACTCCAGTTAATAGAATTCCAGGAACTGGAAAAGCCCCAGAGAGGGTCTGTTCCACATCAGAGGAGAAAGCAGTCAGATTGATGGAGGGGTGGCTAAGTTTCATATGTCCCTCAACCTCTTTTTAAGCGCACAATTTGCATGCAAAAAGTTCCACTCCCACCCCTGCCATCTCCGACCAGAGCAATCTCAGGTAGCAATCCGGGTAAAAACTAACACACAACTCCCTCAAAACTGAGACCCTTTAAGTCAGGCATATCCAAAGTCCGTTTTGGGGGGGTCTAATCCGGCCTGCAGGTCGGTTTAATCCAGCCCCTGTGGCAGTTTATTTCCTTCCATCTTAAAAAAAAAGCTCAAGAACCTAAAAAAAAGTCAACAACTTTGGTCAGCCCTCATGTATGTTCACTTTATCAAATCTGGCCCTCTTTTTGTTTCCCTGACCTCTAATAAAAGCTTTTAATTATTATTATTATTTATTAAATATTTTGTTGATTTACAAAAGTGTGCAATGTCTCTCTCTCGTTCCCCCCCCCCCCCCATGTAACATTTTTACAAATCATTTTCATTTGTTGAGACATTAGGAAGAAGAGGGGGAAAGAGGTGGAGGGGGGGAAGATGGGTGGGGGTGTGGGGGTCAGGTGGCGATGTTTCTATTTCACTTACTATATGTGGGGTTTGGTGTCAGCGTTGCTTGTGCACATTCTCTACTGTTCGCTTGTGTTCCTTTGGTGGTGAGAGAGGTTGGGGTTGGCCTAGGGTGTCGTTATTCATTTCACAGCCCAACAAGACAATGACAAAAATCCACCAACAGCATACAAATCAATATGGCTAACCTGATCCAAAACACCCACCCACCCCACTCGCACATGAAAACAACGACCACCACAGCCAACCACAAATCTGGCCCTCTTTGAAAAAAGTTGGGGCACCCCTGCTTTAAGTGATCTGACTAATAAGTAAAGGAGCTCCCTTTCTCCTAATAAGGAAACGCTGGAATTGTACAGAGAAACGACATAAAAACCTATTCTGATTTGCAGTCTCTTTTTATTGTCTCATGCGGAAGCAAGACAGAAGAGCGGAAAGGCAGCTATAATTATTTTTTTGTAAATCTAGGCACTCAAAAAACTCAAGCGGTGTTGAGGCAGAGCTTGATCAGTTATCTCAGACACCTGACAATATTACAGCCAAATCTGTCTGTAGACTGAGTCGCCAATTGTGCGGGACAAAGGAAAGGCATGCCCTGCTTTAGGTCTTTGGATAAATTTTGAGGCTCCGTAGCTCTGTGTTATGCAATTTCTCTCCTCCTCTCCACCTCAGGCTGGAGCCTTCTCCTGTCACGTTCTCCTTCCAGGGCTCTGGGCTCACGACACAGCTGTTTCTTACACTCTCTCAATCCTGGTTCGCACACCTGAGGCCTCCTCCTCTCCTCATCCTCATCCTCATCATCATCATCATCATCATTGCTCCCCAGGCTTCCGGTCTCATAAGACGCCTGCCTCCCCAGAATATCCTCTCTGCGAGTGACTTCGCGTCGCACAGACCTCCTCACCTCCTCTCCTCTTTCTAAGCCTCCTACCTCACCACGCCACTGACTATCCTCACACAATCCTGGTGTGCAAGCTTGGGACGTCTTCTTCTGAGCATCCCTTTCCAGACTCTCAGGATCACAACGCTGCTTCTGAGCATCCTTTCTCAGGCTCACCCCGCGTCCTTGAGGCCTTCTCCTATCACCCTCCTTTCCCAGGGGTTCACAGTCACAAGACTGTTGATCCCTCTCAATCTTCTCCCTCAGTTCTGGCCCGCACGACTGAGACCTCCTCCTCTTGACTTCCCTGGGTCTGGCGTCACATTCCTGGTCAGAGTCTCCTTCCAAAGATGCAGCCTCTCTCCGTGTGGGTTCGCATCCTCGACTCCTCCTTGGGTCAGCATCTCTGTCCAGGGGCTCAGGTTCATAATACTGCGCTCGCCCTCGTCTCAGGAGTCGTCCCCGTACCGGAGAGCATCTTCTTTGACTCCCCAGCAGTTCGGACTCACAACCCTGCGGTTTTCGCTGGCCGTCCTCGCTCGCACGCCGTTCACGGCCGTGACCCCTCTTCCTCTTCTCGTCCCTCAGTTCAGCTGTGATCAGCTGAACCATCCTCCTCTCACTCTCTCCTTCCATGTCTTTCATCTCACAGTATTGCTGCCGTCCCTGGCCATCCTCTCCTAGCAGATGACAAGGTGTGGCTTTGTCTTTTCGCGGCTCAAGGTCACAGGTCACCTTGGATTGTCGCTGGGATCCACATTTCCGGCACTCACAAATATCTTCCCATTCCTGAGCCTTGCAGGAGGGACGGGTTCTCCCGTGGCCATCTCTCAACTCCAGGTCACACGCTTGGTGGCTCCGCTCATCCGTCCGGGCCTCAGGCTCACCTCGTCTCTCACTGACATGTTTCCTTTCACCGCCCCGCACCTGGTGACAGTCCTTTCCGTCTCCCCGCAGTTCCCGTTCACATGGCTCTCGGCAGATTTCCCCGCATTCTCCGGACTCGAGGCGACAGCAGCAAGCCGTGGCCGTTCTGAAGATGAGAATCAGGTATTCGTTGAACTCTACCGAACAATCCCCGTTGATGTCCAGCAGCTGGAACATCAGCTCAAGGGTCTGAGGGTCACAAGGGTTCTGGAAGAGGGGGAGAAAGGGAGCTAGACCGTTGGATCGATCCACCGCATGTCATCCGTCAACATCTCCTTTATTTACAAACTGAACCCAAATTCTTCAGTTGTATGCTTCCCTTCATTTCCCCCCAGCAAACTTGGGTCTCCAGCTGTTTTTGGACTACAACTCCCATCATCCATAGCTAGCAGGACCAGTGGTCAGGGGTGGTGGGAACTGTAGTCCAAACCAGCTGGAGACCCAAGTTTGGGAAACCCTGATTCGCAACATCCTGAGGTACCCTGCCTTATGTTAGAATCATATTCTTGTGAAGCATTGCTATTTGTAAGTAATATTTATGTAAGGACTTGGTTTGTACATGAGCAGTGGAGCACAACATGTATTTATGTGCATTCTTGGGACTGATCCCAGGGATCTCGCCACCTGAAAAGGAAAGGGGTGCCTGGCCCCTCACCCAATCTCCAATCCGGGGGGCCAGCTGAATTTGACATAGGCCACATTCACCCCACACATTTAAAGCACAATGTCACCACTAAAGACAGTCATGGCTTCCCCCAAAGGATCCTGGGAGTTGCAGTTTGTTAAGGGTGCTGAGAGTTCTCTGGAGACCCCCTATTCCTCTCCGAGATCTACGGTTCCCAGAGTGGTTTAACAATCAAGCCTTCATTCCAGGGAATTCTTGGAACTGTAGCTTAGGAAGAAGAAGAAGAAGAAGAAGAAGAAGAAGAAGAAGAAGAAGAAGAAGAAGAAGAAGAAGGAGGAGGAGGAGGAGGAGGAGGAAGAAGAAGAAGAAGAAGAAGAAGAAGGAGGAGGAGGAGGAGGAGGAGGAGGAGGAGGAGGAAGAAGAAGAAGAAGAAGAATTTATCATTTATACCCCGCCCACCTGGCTGGGCTTCCTCAGCCACTCTATGGCAGCTTTCAACAAAATATTAAAATACAGTAATGCATCAAACATTAAAAGCTTCCCTAAACAGGGCTGCCTTCAGATGTCTTCTAAAAATAAGATAGCTGCTTATTTCCTTGACATCTGGTGGGAGGGCGTTCCACAGGGTGGGCGCCACTATGGAGAAGGCCCTCTGCCTGGTTCCCTGTAACCTCACTTCTTGTAATGAGGGAACCGCCAGAAGGCCCTTGGATCTGGACCTCAGTGTCCAGGCAGAACAATGGGGGTGGAGACGCTCCTTTGGGGATACTGGGTCCAGGCCGTTTAGGGCTTTCAAGCTCAGCACCAACACTTTGAATTGTGCTCGGAAACGTACTGGGAGCCAGTGTAGTCTTTCAAGCTTAGGGCAAATGGGTCACTGCCCCACCACCCTCAGTCTGCCCTCAGCCAACCCACACCTGCCTGCCCTCTTGTTCACAAGCTGCCCTGGGGTTGGCACTGCCTGTCATTTTCCTCTTCCTCCCCAGTCTCGGTTTTGTCCTAGAATGAGTTGTCCCCACCTGTCACTGGCTCTTGTGTCTGGCTCCCTGCCTTTCGCCTTGCCAGTTCCAATGGTCAGCAGCCACCACTGCGCCCAGTATGTTTTCAATGATGGTTCTAGCTCACCTCAATGACCTCAGCAAACTCCTCCTGAATCAGCCTTTTCATCTCCCTCCGGCACAGGGAGACCTTCCCATCGCAATGTTGGGCGTGCTTGTAAAAGATCCCCTGGATTGCGCGGATGTTGTCCAGAAGGCTAGACATCTTCCCGAAGGTTGTGCTGAGGCCTGTTAGAGAATTATATATTTTTTAAGTGAATTGCATGCAGTAAAATTTATTCCATCTTTCCTATGCTCTTGATATTGCCTCCTTTGGGCTGTTTGACAAAGTGCACCAGTGAGTAATCTCCATAGCTACCATAAGAGGCATCCAGTAGCTAACCTTCGGAGGAATACTTCCTTTTCATCTCTCTCTGGTTCAGATGAAGGAAATGTTTGGGGGCATAAGAAGCTGTCAGGTGCCCTGGGGACGGGAAGATGTCTTGTGGACTGTCCCCAGGGCCAAATGGTCCATGAGGCTCCCTCTCAGTGCCTCCATTGCTTGCTGAGTTCTCACAAACACTTAAGATTACAAGATACCGTAATATTTCTTTTCTCTTTCTTTCTTTCTTTTTGAAATTTTGACTATTTTCACATAACAAATTATTTCAACAATTGTATTCCCCCCTCCTACCCCCCTACGACTTCCCTCAGTTCCTCTTTCTGATTTATTAACACATATTATTCTCTGCATATTATAAAAACGCAAGAATCTCTAAATTATCCATCTGTTATGTTAACAAATAAATTTGTGTATGTTTATTCAAAACCTGCCAAGGAGTCCAATTCATTTTGTTGTTTCTTTAAGTACCGTATTTTTTGCTCTACAAGACTCACTTTTTCCCTCCTAAAAAGTAAGGGGAAATGTGTGTGTGTCTTATGGAGCGAATGCAGGCTGCGCAGCTATCCCAGAAGCCAGAACAGCAAGAGGGATTGCTGCTTTCACTGTGCAGCGATCCCTCTTGCTGTTCTGGCTTCTGAGAATCAGAATATTTTTTTTCTTGTTTTCTTGTTTTCCTCCTCCAAAAACTAGGTGCGTCTTGTGGTCTGGTGCGTCTTATAGAGCGAAAAATACGGTATTTTGTAAAAGGTTCCCATTCTTCTTTAAAGTCACAGTTGTCCTTGTCGCATAATTTGTGGGTCAGTTTTGCCAGTTCCACGTAGTCCATCAATTTTTCTTGTCACTGTTCTTTTGTTGGGGTTTCTTCATTCTTCCATCCTTGTGCTATTAAGACTCTTGCTGCCATTGTCGCATACATAAAAATGTTTTTTAATTTCCTTGGCAGGTATTTTCCTACAATCCCTAACAAAAATGCTTCAGGCTTTTTTACAATTGTTAATTTGAACATTTTCTTCAACTCATTATATATCATTTCCCAAACATTTTTAAATTTCTCTACAATCCCACCACATATGATAAAAAGTCCCTTCTTTTTCCTTACATTTCCAACATACATTTGAGCCACTTTTATACATTCTTGCTATCTGTACTGGTGTTATGTACCATCTACACATCATTTTCATATCGTTTTCTTTCAGTAAAGAACAATCTATAAATTTTACTCGAAAATAATATTTATTACTTTTCCAACAATTTAAACACTACAAAAACAATACAGTACAATACAAAAACACTACATAACACTAACACATTAAACACATTAAACTAACAAAACAAAACAAAGACAGTTTAAAATACATCAAACAATTTCATTATCCCATCTTTCATTCACTTATTTCCACGACCTCCTCACACCTCCCTTCTTGTATTCCACTTCTGTTAATTGTTTCAGCAATTCCTTTCCATCTTCCTCTGTTTTCTATCCTATAATTATCTTAACACAATCTAACCTTATTTTTCCCTTTAATACTCTATTAATCTATTTGTACTTAATTCCTTATAACATTTCTACTAAAGCCATATAACATCATTCCAACATTTTTCTAACATTCATTAATTTTACAGTATTTCTGTAAATAGTCTTTAAACTTTTTCCAATCTTCTTCCACCAACTCTTCTCCCTGGTCTCGGATTCTGCCAGTCATTTCCGCCAGTTCCATATAGTCCATCAACTTCATCTGCCATTCTTCCCGGGTGGGTAAATCTTGTGTCTTCCAATACTTCGTGATGAGTATCCTTGCTGCTGTTGTTGCATACATAAAAAAAGTTCTATCCTTCTTTGGCACCAATTGACCGACCAGGCCCAGGAGAAAGGCCTCTGGTTTCTTCAAGAAGGTATATTTGAATACCTTTTTCATTTCATTATAAATCATCTCCCAGAATGTCTTAATCCTTGGGCATGTCCACCAAAGGTGAAAGAATGTACCTTCAGTCTCATTACATTTCCAACATTTATTGTCGGGCAAATGGTAAATTTTTGCAAGCTTGACTGGTGTCATGTACCACCTATAAATCATTTTCATTAAATTTTCTCTTAGGGCATTACATGCCGTGAATTTCATACCTGTGGTCCATAACTGTTCCCAGTCAGCCATCATTATGTTATGTCCAACATCTTGTGCCCACAGTCTTCCCCAATCTTCAAACAGTATATTATGACCTATATCTTGTGACCAAGATACCGCAATGTTTCAACTCACCCAGGTCAGTAACAGGAACAATCTGCAGGCTTTGAGGGAGCAGGCTGGCGAACGCTGGAGATCCAACCCCTTTTTAAAAGGCGCCTAATTGTAGGAGTGTAAGTCGACTCCTTCCTTGGATGACGGCCTGACTCATCTGCAGCACAGCCCTGTCTGCTTCACGGTCTCCTCCAAAGGTGTAACTTCAAAGGTGTAGCCACCTTTGGCCTGTTCCTCCCATCGCCGTCACCACCACTTTTCCTTAGCAATCATTTTTGACGAACCCACGGCCTCAGCATGGCCCATTCCACACTTCCAAAAACATCACGTGAATGGAAATGCAGCAAATCCTTCGAGATTCATGCTTCCCTGAATTTTGCAAGGCGCCTTTCCTGCCGAGTAATATGTACAAAGGGACGCGGGTGGCACTGTGGGTTAAACCACAGAGCCTAGGACTTGCCGATCAGAAGGTCGGCGGTTCGAATCCCTGCGACGGGGTGAGCTCCCGTTGCTCAGTCCCTGCTCCTGCCCACCTAGCAGCTTGAAAGCACGTCAAAGTGCAAGTAGATAAAGAGGTACCGCTCCGGCGGGAAGGTAAACAGCGTTTCCGTGCGCTGCTCTGGTTCGCCAGAAGCGGCTTAGTCATGCTGGCCACGTGACCCGGAAGCTGTACGCCGGCTCCCTTGGCCAATAAAGCGAGATGAGTGCCGCAACCCCAGAGTCGTCTGCGACTGGACCTAATGGTCAGGGGTCCCTTTACCTTTACCTTAATATGTACAAAAATGCACGCACCGAGGGAAAGCGTGCATAGAGATGCATATATTGGTAACGTGCGATAATGCATTATTTTATGCAAAAATGCTGAGAGAGAGAGAGAGAGAGATGTTCTAATTTTTCGGGAAGAGTCCTGCCCAAATTTAATGAGCAGATCCCTTAAGATGTCATTACCCAAAGGGTCAAGGGTGTAATTAGCCCAGCTGGGCATCGGACAGTAACTCAGGTGTGCACAGTACAAAGTTACTCATATCCGTTCCCACAAACGATGAAAGGCTCACATACACACCAACACACACAAATCACTATCTCCTGAAACCGTTCCGAAAACGGTGCATGAACTGGCCAAGGACTTAAATTCTAACCGCTTAATTGAAGTCTTCTAGAGCCAACCTGTTACTCACAAAAACAAGGTTCGCCTCATTCTTGATCATCCTTCCTTTCCAGTGCTTTATCTCACTGCCTCACAATTCCACAATATCAACCATCTTGGGCCCTAAGATTAGCAGGGGGCTCCCCTATTAGTGTTGTTGCTGCGGGGTGCTGGCTGGCTGGCGTTGACCCCTCCCCAGGCAGGGCCTTCTTAGTGGTGTGCCTGTAGAATGTAGAATGTGGTAGAATGTGGTAGAATGTGGTGTGCCTGTAATTAACATTCAATAGGAACTTTAAAACATTCCTGGTGTTTGCCCAGAATTCATCATGTGAAAGTCTGGGCTGGATGAATCCCTAGCCGGAATTAAGATTGCCGGAAGAAATATCAACAGCCTCAGATATGCAGATGACACAACCTTGATGGCAGAAAGTGAGGAGGAATTAAAGAACCTTTTAATGAGCTATAGTATAGTAAAAGCTATGGTTTTCCCAGTAGTGATGTATGGAAGTGAGAGCTGGACCATAAAGAAGGCTGATTGCCGAAGAATTGATGCTTTTGAATTCTGGTGCTGGAGGAGACTCTTGAGAGTCCCATGGACTGCAAGAAGATCCAACCTCTCCATTCTCAAGGAAATCAGCCCTGAGTGCTCACTGGAAGGACAGATCCTGAAGCTGAGGCTCCAAGACTTTGGCCACCTCATGAGAAGATAGGACTCCCTGGAAAAGACCCTGATGTTGGGAAAGATGGAGGGCACAAGGAGAAGGGGACGACAGAGGACGAGATGGTTGGTCAGTGTTCTCGAAGCTACCAGCATGAGTTTGACCAAACTGCGGGAGGCAGTGGAAGACAGAAGTGCCTGGCGTGCTCTGGTCCAGGGGGTCACAAAGAGTCGCACACAACTAAATGACTAAACAACAACAACAACAAAAGGGTTTCTGTATCCCCAAAAGTGAAAATCCAGAGAGAGTTGTTGAGCTCCAGCTAGACTCAATCCCCTGGTGCCCCTTGCAATGCTGTACAGAGCACTGCTGTTTGCCCCCAGCAGAGAAGGAAGGGGGCACAGATCAAGGTGGTGGGGGCACAACAGCGGCCTTTTTGCCCTCAGAGCTAGAGCTGGCCCTAACCATCAACACGCAATGCCCACATCTTCTTCTCTTTTAATTTTATTTCTACTTTTCAGATATATACATTTCACTGGTTTTACAATCATTATGACATTTCAAAACTCAACTTCCTTCCCCCTCTTCCTTAAATTTATTTTTAATATCCTCTGCATATCAACTTAACTTGCTCATCCCCCCCCCTTTAAATATATACTCTGATGTAAAGGTAAAGGGACCCCTGACCATTAGGTCCAGTCATGACCGACTCTGGGGTTGCGGCGCTCATCTCGCTTTATTGGCCGAGGGAGCCGGCGTACAGCTTCCCGGTCACGTGGC